ACGAGATGCACTCGCATATTTTAGCCGTGACGCATTTGCCTGCAAAACGAAGGAGGTTACGGTTCAAATTCAATATATACGTATTAAAAGTAATGGAATTTAGGTTTCGCGTGGCGAAAAAAGACAACTCTGAATACAAGGGAAAAAAGTGTCATCCCACAGGTTGCCGCGTCACGCAGGAGCAGCCGACACATAGGACGCGCTACTTGCAGGTTGCCGCGTCACGCAGGAGCAGCCGACACGTAGGACGCGCTACTTGCAGGTGGCCGCGTCACGCAGGAGCAGCTGACACGTAGGACGCGCTACTTGCAGGTTGCCGCGTCACGCAGGAGCAACCGACACGTAGGACGCGCTACTTGCAGGTTGCCGCGTCACGCAGGACGGCCTGGGCAGGCGAGAGGGAGGCAGCGCATCGCCGCAGGGGAGAACAAGAGGTTGACGGTCGCCAGGATCGCCGCAAGCCAAACTCAGGCGGGAATATCAAATGGCAGAAGCTGCCGCACAGTTGGCGAGAAATTAAAGCTTCCTAGACACTAAACATAGAAGTTAAAAGACACTTGCACGTGTTTCGTGAAAACTCTCAGGAACAAGGGACACTTCAATGTAACTGAAGCTGAAGCAATTGAAAAATAGCAAATAATAGATGAAAGGTAGCTCAGAGCAGCTAGCAGAAAGTTCAGCGTATTTGATTGACTAATTAGAATGAAGAAATGAAGATAGGGAGCAGCGTGCAGACAATTCACGGCTGCAGATAGACAATTCCTAACTGAGAAAAATGTACCGTACGAAACATATTCTCTTTTCAATAAGACAACATGAGAAAAATATTTTTTTCATCCTCTGCAGAAAATGTCAACAAAGAGCTATATATTGGGCTCGCCCAACCTCATCATCAACAGAACACACAAACCGCGGGCCCTGATGACTCTTGAAACGACGTCAACGGCGGGGCAGCCCAGCAGAAGATTGAAGCCACATCAGCAATTTGTCGCCAGCCAGCCCTCGGCCATACATTGGCCACCCAAAAGCCGCTCATAGATTTTCGACTGGGAGAGGCAGCGGAAAAGAAGACGGAGACACGGGGACGGCGGCGGTTGTTCCCACGATGCGCGGTGTCGGCCGTTGCTGGTTACTGTTTATCGCGCACGGTCGCCACGACAAGAAGCGACTCATCATTAATTGCTCATCACGGAAGTATAACGTATGCTCAAATAAGTATTGCGCGAAATTTGAGCTCTTTAATTTTGAATCCAACCCTAGAATATTGATCCAGAAGTCTCATGAATAAAAAGAAACCAAACAGCGGATAATTGCAAACAGTGACATAAGAGCCGAATTAACAACAAGCTGAGACAATTCACGCATTCACAAAAATTACTTACCATATCTTTCGGATATTTAGTCAAAGTATTTCGAGAGCTGAAGACTGCGTTAATACAAGTATTACTCAGGATATATCGGTCACTCTTCCCAGACTCGCGACACAAAGACGTCTTCTAAAAGTCAGGATGCAGATGGGCCAGCGTCACGCCGCGGGTCACGACAGGCCACCAAATAAGCGCTGTATCGAATAAAATTACCCCAAATAAGAAGACAGTGCATCAAATTGCCTCCAAAACAGCTCAGCAATGCATGATATTAGTCCCGAATAAGGCAAGAACTGCATCACATTGCCCTCAAGCGCTTATTCCCAGTCACGCGACCACCACGGTATTAAAGAAGCCAACATCTGCCAACTTCCTTCATAATGCTACAGATGTCGTTCAAGCTTAAAACGTATACAATTCACAATTTAATAACAAATAATATAATATGTTGTTCAATGCACTGAAATTTTTGTTAAATCTAACTAAGCGAGGTCGATTAGACGGAGAAACATATATATAATTAATGCATGATGCAGAACAAACAAATCAAATTACAATACTGCCCAATGCAAAAAAAAATATAAAGAAATTTGCAATAAAGCGTGTGAATATCAAGGAATTGACGAGTCTAGCCAGGAAAGGTCACGGCCGAGCAAGGTAACGATTATAGAGGGTACGCAAAGAGAGAAGCAAGTGGAGATGAAAGGGCACAGCTTTTATTAATGGCGGTCATTCGTCACAAAAACCGGGGGGCGAATGGCAAAAATTAGCACCAGCAATGAAGCATACAGCAAACAATACAAGGCCTATGATGGGAAAAAATTACATCGATATAGAGATGTGTGATCATAGATGGTTGCGTCAGCGAAACTTCATTAACACTTGATTTTTGGCGTAATTTTCATTGAGTAGTTAGGCTAAAGTTTATTCAACTGGCGATATAAATTTAGCCGCTTTCGGAAAATCGGAAAATTCTACGTTTGTAGGGCGACATAATCTTAAAGTTCAAGAGAACTAATTGAAAAATATGCACCCTGTATGCAATATTCCACTATCCAAAACAGGCTTCAAAATTTGTAACGGAAAGGGTTGCTCTGTTTACATTCAAATTTGGACATTAAGAAGTGATTTCTCAGGCTAATTAATGCAACTGATTTCGCGTGAAATTCCCTTGAAAGACGATGCAAGTGTCGTTGCGTTGTCAGGTAATATCGATAAATACAACGCCAAATAAATGATTGAGAATGGAACAAATTCCAAAAGACGTAATCCAGTTTTGCAACGATAAAGCTATCTTCTTTCCTGTGCAACATTCGTTAAACATCACGGATAGCCAGGCTGTGCAAGCATTCGTTCAACATCAGGTTTAAGGCAGAGAGTTGAAATGCTTCAATTAAGTAAACCTGAGAGGAAAATGAGGCGTTAACTTTCACTGTTTCATTTACGGGGAGCATTCGAACAGAAGCTAAGCTCTAAGAACTACCATTACACTTGCCATTGTTCCGCAATGGGTAAATTAGTGCATTGAATTGTAATCACAAAACACGTTCACTGACAGCATTCATTTTCCACAATAAGGTGTCAGGCAGGCCAAATAAAAAAATATAACTCAGCACTCACTGCAGTGAGTGACAGAGAGCGCATTTTCTCGTCGACGAAAACGTGGTCATGGACGGACAGACAGACGGACGGACATGACGAGCACAATAGCACCTTTTCTCCATAAATGACAAAATGCGCTAAAAACTTAACGAAACACGAGGCAAAACCTCTCATTAATCTCAAGAATGCTACAGCACATCTTATCCATCACCACGATGGAATTTACCACCAGTCTTATCCACATCACCTTAAGACCATGAATGTAACTTTGCTACAGCTTAAATAAGGAAGACTTTCGGTGGAGCTGTAGAAAGCCACTTTGAGAACCATATGCTCCAGAAAGCAACATTCAATTTAAGTCAGCATTTTCAGGAAATCACTCCCCGAACATTAATAAATAACAAAAGAAAACCAGAAGAGAGATCTAGAAATAATGAAGTTCAAAGTGCCCTTCGAATAAGTTAAAGGTAAAATTTGAGGAGCACAAACATTTTTGTTAATAGTAACATGAACAGGCCGAGAAGGGTTAAAAAGATCTCTAAAATAAGTAACCAAACGTGAAAATATTTGTTCATGGATCGCTGTAAGCGATCATGTATCAGACGTTTCAACGTCACGAACTGAACGAAGAGAGGGTAAGCGAGGTCACGCCTCATAAATTGAGTAAGTTCTCAGTCTTTATCGTTATAAGGTGTCAATAACAGACAGACTAACGAGCTAGCAAGCGATTGCATGATCCCGTAACTCTTTATCAGTATATAGGCAGGCTATATATTATAGGAGTAGCAAAGGTTATCGAGTAACCGCATAACTCGAAGTTGTGTCAGCCACAAACAACTAACTTCCTGCACGGGACTATAGTATTGCGCAACGCTCAGTAAGCCTGACAACAACAATGCAAAATGAAGAATCAATTTACACGTGAATGATTGAGTGATTCGAGGAAGCAATCGAATTGAATATAGAAATGGCTTACGCAATACGAGGATGATGGAGCAGAGCACGGAGCGACGAATTGAGATCTCGAATTCGGTCACCGACAAAATTTGCAAATTTGCTAAGAATTCGTCACGTCATAATTATTTTCAATTTCGCTGACAACACAGCGAATGATGCCGAAGAAAGTCACACGACGACTTTATGTTTTTCTCGTATAACTCAGTAATTGAGCTTCACCTAAATTATCAAGCCATGAAAAATATGTTTAAAATAACTTTAATAAGAACTAATATCCAAGAAAACAATCCACGGTTTGATTTAATCGTTTTCCGACAACGTTCCTGAAAGAACTGCGTCCAAACCATAAATTTGGAAGCAAAAACTAATAATTTATTGCCAATCAAATTTCATAGAATCACATGGAGCATATTGCGCGGGCAATATGCTCCATGCATTGGAAGAATTTATATTCACTAATTAAAGATTTTCTACTGAGCTGAACTCAATCGCATAACGGTTTCGCAATACAGAATTTTCCCAACCACGAAGGTGACGGCGTGCGATAAATTTCACCGATACAAACGAACATTAATTTTTCATTCATCACATAAATGTGAGAAAAATAATGAAGGAAATGTTCTGAGAATTAAAGAAATGCAACTTCGTGAGAGCGCAGACCGTGTCAGGCGCTACGTATTTCGCGGTCCAGGATTGCTCACAGGTCGTAAGGAGCCCACGTGACTCAGCAAATTACTCAAGAAGCCAGGGAAAGTTGAACCAAGACGTACGAAATTCTCGAGGAATTACGCTTTATTTCAGCGACTATGATAAAAATGTAAAAAGATGGGGACGAATTGCATACATACAACCAAAATAAATAAATAAATTTAGTAAGTAAGCGAATGAAATTAAAGTTAATGAATAAGAAAATGAGTTAAATGAACCTAATATTTATAAAAAATTAAGAAGATGGGACGAATTGCATACAAAAAAATTAATTAACAAATTTGGTAAATAAATGAATGAAATCAAAGTTAATAAATACGTACATGAGATCAATAAACCTTATATGTCATATTTAAGAGAACATACCTGCAGAGATCATCTGTTCGACGAGGGAGTGGAGGGGAGGGCTGAGATCTCGCTCCTCGGCATGACCAAGTCCGTAGTCCAGCGCACTGTACAGCACCCAGCCCAGCTCCGCCACCAGCTGTTCGAAGCGGTCTCGATTAGAGGCTCGTCAAAGAAATCAATTCATATTCATAGCATGAATGTGATTAACAATGAGTAACGTGGTATTAATTTGTAGTACAGTACATAGACATAGTACAGTACATGTTTGTAGTACATAGTACATAGTCTAAGATAGATACAGTAGTTTGTTCCCCATTAAATTTATAAGGAATAATTGCGCGCTACTTCGTTGATCTTGAGAAATATGTGGACCGTGGTTAATAGTTTAGCTGCGTCGTATCAAACTTAAGGAAATGCATAAGCACGTATAAAAAGTAAGATGATTCATAACGATGAGTTTAGAGACAAATAATTAACACTAACATAATAACATTTCAGCCCTATAGAGTAAATTTTCACCTTCGAGTATATTTCGCATAACGTTAGACGGTTAGAGTAATTAAGCCCAAGCATAACGAAATTATAATTTTACTGCAATGCATTCTGGATGCTTCAAAAGCATGCATTCAATTTAAACCTAACAATTTTCACGAAGCAGGTTAATGAATGCTAAAAACCAAAATGAAAATCGCTGCAAGCGATTTTTATTTTGTTGACCGTAACTGACCGTATACCCACGGTATATTCGGTCAGTGTCAGGCATCGACGATGTGACAGAGCGACCATACGAGCAACTGTTTACCGATGCTGACCCGAGCAATGAATGCAGGGAAAATATTCTGTGTCAGCTATGCTTTAAGGTATAAGTAGAGCACTGAGAAATAATATGGGATTATGAAAGTATAAATCAAATAGAGCAAACTCTGCTTAAAGCGTAAAAAAAAATGACGCGTAAAAATCTACGTTAATGACGTTTTGTATAATTAAATTAAACACAAAGATTCTATACTTTAAACGATAGACCTGAAGTAATTAAGGAAAATATATAAGAGATAGAGCAGTTGACAAATTTGTAAACATACATAAAAATGTGTATAAGAAAACGATTGACAAAACAATAAATATAGAAGTTTAAACTAAAAATTGTTGATAATCATATAAATTCCTTATATTTGGTTCTTGAAAAACATTATGCATTTTTAATTAAAAGCGTGTGGTAAAGTAGTAAATTCGGGAAAACATGGAGTCGGTGATGCGCGACAGAGGCAGCGTGACGCGCTCTCCCAGGGTGCGCAAAGCACTGGTCGAGGTCACGTGTCGAGACGCGCTTTAACGACCCACAAAATCACGTCCTAGTCCCATTTTATTCGCACGATCTTGCATGTAAATCCTTCAGGCGAAAATCATCTGAGAAAATCTTAAAGAGGAACCTCTGAAGATCTCTATATGAATAAAGTCATTCGAGAACATAATAACAGAAGGCAAAAGAAATCAGAAAATCTGAATACCAATGAAAATTATATTTTGCTATATATTACACAACATTTTATTCACGCGCCTTATATTAAAAAGGCCAGAAAAGTTCCACACCGAACACTCAGAGCTAATCGACAAAAAATAAAATAACAAATATGAATAATTAATTAGATCTTCATTCGTTTCTGAAACAAGATATACTTAAATAGAATAAATACTAAATATATAGAATCCCGTTAGCAATCCCACAACGTTGCTCAGTTATGTGCTATCACCGTGAACACGTCCATCGCACAGCCTTGCACGCCAATTTGTGCTCGATTTATTGAAAGTCGCCGCGCGAATCATGACTGCAATTATTACCAGAATAGAATCACTGACATTTTTTATGGAAAAACACGTAGGAATAACTTACACAAAGTAAACGTATAATGGCCACCTACCACCTTTGCATGAGGAGAGGGGGTTGTCAAGACGGGGGCGAGTCCCTCGCTTGCAGAGGTGATAAGTGGTGAGTTGTGAAATCCGGGCAAATAGTGAAATATAAAATCAAATAACAAAACGAAACAAGTAATACGACATAAACACAAGCCATTGAACATGGGAATGTGTCGTGTAGCACGGCGTAAGTCAAGCAATACAGAGATACGACATCGATACCGAAATCATATAACACGTAGCTGAGATTGAGTGTTGGCTTTGACTGCTACGACTCTGACGCGGCAGCCAGCAAATCTCCCTTGAGAATAACCGCAACCGCAAGAAAAAATCCGTAAAGCGACGCATCGCATACGTGTTACAGTATCGGACTTATATATAAGGAAGATCACTAGATCACCGATTCACTTTCTTGAGGTACGGAACAAGCCGCACTGAGAATTTTATTTCATGGCCTCAATATGGTAACATATTGAGCATTGACCTAGTAATATGATTTAACCAACAATTCCTGCAATTCACAGAAGATGGTAAAACTCGCTTCTGATATCAACGAAACAGATTTACTAAAATGCAGGATGACAAAAATAGTATAAGATCAAAACATAGGCGTTCGTGTATTATAATTAGCGTTTGTGATTGGGGTCAGTTAAGACTAGTAGGTATGTAAAATTAGAAGGAGAGACAATTGAAAAAAATAGGAGCTAAATCGACCTAATAATAATTAGGAGCTAAATCGACCTAATAATAATACTTTGCCGATCAAGGGAGATCGGCAAATACCGATCTCCCTTGATTTTAATCACAATCAGAACTTTACATAAATTCGATACTGGAGGAAGGCATCGAGTTTTATGTATACAGAAAAGTCAAGATCGTATGCAAAAATATCGTACGTTAAATTTTACGCGTTTTTTAAATCAAATGTTGATGAACTTTTCACGCTACGTACAATAAGTAAAAATTGGCTCATCGAAACATCCGCCAATTGATTAAGACAAGTCATTGTTGTAGCATGAAGCATGTCCGTCCTACACACCGTACAGGCAAGCAAGCGTTTGTCGCTCATTGTACCGCTATATTCGCTTGATGCAAAGCACAAAGCGCTAGATGTACAGTGAAATTTACGCAAAAAGCTTTGGGAATTTGCAGCTGTTGAGTCATTAACATTCCATCCTCTAGCTTTTTGTCAAGTGAACAAAACGAACCGTCGCAACAAATTACCAACAGCTGCACAGTTGACGCAACAAGGAATACATATTAATTATGACAAGTTATAATATTAAATGTCACTGGGAAGTATATCGGAAAAATTTAACGTGAGGAAAATTGGGGAATATAATAAAATGTTAAATCAGCAAACGCTTGTGAAATGTTCAAAATATAACACGGAAAATTTAAAAAATCGCACTTTCGATTTTACTTAAAATCCTGGACTGATTTTTAAGCTGAATAAGTACACAGATCATTTTGCTGCCACCAAACTACAAATTTTAAATCGAACAAATAAACGACGCATTTAATCACATCATACACCAGAGGAAAGCATTCCTGGAACAAGCAACAAAAAAAACGTAGAACAAGCAGACATTCTAACTATTTTGGGGTCTCAGTCATGCCAGTGCATGTGCAATAGGAACGTGTTCTTGCCTAAAGCATAAAAGAAACATGTTTTCAAGGAAACAAAAGCAGGCAATTCACGGGTAAGGAACGAGTTCGCGCGCCGAGGACGTCAAGGGAAAGCCAGGCAAGTTTAGACGACGCAAACATCAGTCCTGGCGAGATCACTCCAGTCGCATCCACTTCTTAAACAAAGCTAAAAAAATCCAAAAATCCTTCGGTCAATCGATGGAAATTAGTGGTCTTTGTTAGTCGAAGCAAGAAAATTATCATATTGAGGAATTTGAGCGGAAGAAGTCATGTTCTTTTTTTCATTAAAACATGAATATGATATTTACCATTAATATTAATTATTATGATATGCAGAAATACGATCTATAAGTGAAAATTTGCCTTGAAAGCTCAGGATTATACTAATAGCCAGTTTACCAGTGCGCGACCAAGAAATCTTGTAAATAAGAAGTTAACGCCATAGGAAACAAATTAATTCGTTTTAAGCAACTACGCTATACAAATCAATTACGTTAACTCCGTTTACATGTCCGAGCATAAAAAGAACTCACTCAGGCGATGTACTCAAATACTTTTAAATTATCTTGCCAACAATGACGCATCGGCACGCATCATGAGCTGCCATGAGACATCAAGAAAGATTGATTAAAATTACAAGGTAAGCGATAAGGCGCGCGAGGACCGGAGACTGAGAGGAAAATGGAGAAGATACGAACCACGAACGTTAAATAGCAAGATATTAAAATTTTACCACACTGAAAAAATCTATTCTATTTTTTTTATTTCAACTGCTTGGGATAACTCCATTAAAAATACTTTTTGAAAGTACGGCAAAAGATCGTCATGTAGCATAGAAAAGATAGATAAAGTGTTCATAAATGCAATCTCCATTGAAGCTGGCTAAGAAGCGTTCAGTCAATAGATTTTCCCATGATTCGACGGTTCAAGTCCGACCGATTCACGAGGGGCGCAGCGAGTCTTTAATTGAATGTCGTTTACCCACGCATTTTCTCGGAGATAAGATAAGCAGTGCACGTAATGCATCAGCTGTTCGTTCACTGATAAGATAAGGCAGCGCAACTGAGAAAGCCGACTACACAATGAGTCAGTAAATGCGCTATAGCAAGGGTTGTACTTCAATCTTCAATTAATTGAAAAAATTAGATTCTAATCAAATTTCTAACGCCTAGACAAATAATTAATTAACTAAATGCAAAGCTTTATAATAAAACTGCTAGCTGCATTTAGGCAACTCTGTTTCATTTCTAGTCACAAATTAACAGCCGTGATGATAAACTGCAAGAAAAACAATTGGAAATTCATTTTTCTGACAATTAAACTATAGAGTAAATAACAGACAAAAAAGAACCTGAACACAATAGAATTCAACACCCATATAAATCATATTAAAAGTAGGATTGACGACGATCAAAAATCATACGAGTCAATTGCATATTTATTGATAACCTCATTAATTCACTGCTGCATTACCGACGTATCGCTGAGCGTAGAGCTAGAAAGTCAAGGCAAGAGCTGTGGGAGGCCCACTTATCATCACCGTAAATACGAACAACATTTATCAACCCAGAA